CGGCTCTGTGCAACCCCAGCGCGATGCTCCTCGACCTGCGCCAGGGGCTGGCGGGCGCCTACCAGGAGATGCTGCACCAGGCGAAGCTGGAGAAGGGCAGCAACGCCAGGAACAAGGTGAGGAGGGCACGGGGGGGTGGTTCTGGGGGGGCTGGGAGAGGTGCAGCCCCTCTGCTGGTGGGGGCTTCCAGCTGGAGGGGTCTCTCTTTGGTCAGAGACCGTCTCTGTGCTTGGTGGGTAAAACACAACCGGGGAGCCCTAGTGTTAATCGGAAGGTGTGTGTAGGGGAAATGATTTCTCTTTGGGGGCTGGTTGGCCCTGTGCGCTGTTGGGGGGTGCTTGGGTGGAAAGCTCAGGGTGGGGAGTCCCTCTCCAGTACCTGCAGGTGATCCCTGATGGAGAGGACATCTACGACCGGTGTCTGACCCAGGCTGAAATCCAAGGGAACATCAACAAAGCCAACGGTGAGCAAAGCTGTGCCCTCTGTCCTGGGGGGGGGTGTGTGTGTGTGTGTGTGTGTCCCCAGAGTTTTATCGGTGGAACTGTGGTGCCACAGGGGAGTCCCTGCTCTGTAGGGAGGAGCTGTTTGCCCAGACCAGCTTCAGACCCGGCAGGGAGGGGGGCTGGCTGTGCATTTCCGAGGAGAAATTAAAATTAGTGGTACACAGGCTTCACCCGGAGCTCCCTTCGCTCCCTGGAGCCGCGGGAGGATTTACCTGCTCGCCTTCTCTGGGTGTCAGCTGGCCTCTCTCCTAGTGCACGGGGTTCTGGAGGAGGTGGACGATGCCCTGGAGCGACAGGACACACTGGGACTGTTCCGTGCACTGCAGGACCCTGTCCTGGCCCTGCGCTGCCTCCGGCGAGAGAACCTCGACCGGTATTTGGAGCAGCTCAGCACGGACCGGGAGCAGAAGGCGCTGGTAGGGGCTGGCAGGAGCTGGGGGGTTCCTGTGCTGGGGTGACACTTCGGGGCTGCATGTGGTCCCCAGGAGGGGGGGTGTGTTCCCTCCCTGCACAGGGGGCTGCTCTGCAGATTGTCGGCTTTGCGCCAAGGCTCTGAGCACGGCTGTTCCGTCAGCACAAGCAGGAGCTGTGGGGAAGGGTGTGAAAGCCAGTTGGTGACCGGTCACAAGTGGTGTCCCTCAGGGCTGGGATTTGGGGCCACTCCTGTTTAACACCTTTACTGATGTTCTGGATGAAGGAATCAAGTGCCCCCACAGTCAGTTTGCAGATGACACCCGGCTGGGTGGGAGTGTGGATCTCTCGAGGGTGGGGAGGCTGCAGAGAGACCTGGCCAGGCTGGAGCCATGGGCTGAGCCCAACTAGGAGAGTTTCAGAGGGCAAATGCCGGGGGCTGCCCTTGGGCCACAACAACCCCCAGGGGGGCTACAGGCCTGGGGAGGGGCGGCTGGAGAGCTGCCAGTCAGAGAGGGACTGGGGGCGTGAGAATGAGCCAGAGTGTGCCCAGGGGGCCAAGGAGGGCAACGGCATCCTGGCTTGTGCCAGCCCTGGTGTGGCCAGCAGGGACAGGGGAGGGATCTGAGCCCTGGGCTCGGCACTGGGGAGGCCGCCCCTCGA